AGTCGCTTTGCTGTTTTAACAGCTTGTTCTGCTTTCCCGTTACTTTGCGGGTACGCCGGCGACGAGGTTAGATGTTCGAATCCCCACTCACTCGCGAATCTGTCGAATTCAGACGAGCTGAATTGTGGCCCGTTGTCACTTACAACGGTAGTGGGAATGCCATAACGAGCAAACTGAGCACGCAGCATTCTGATAACGGTTGATGACTTCGTGTCAGTAAGATGATCGACTTCCCAGAAGTTCGAATAGTAGTCAACAATTATTAGGTAATCTTTGTCGTGAACCGTAAAGAGATCACATCCGACCTTGGACCAAGGTCGTTCTGGTACATCATGAGATATGAGCGTCTCTTTCTGTTGTCGGTTCTCGTAGGTACGACATGTCTCACACCTACTAAAATGATCACCGAGCTCGGCATTCATATTCGGCCAGTATACAGTCTCTCTAGCTCTCCTGAGACATCCTTCGGTACCGTTATGGGACGAATGAGTTCTGGACTTGATGTCCGAACGCAACGAAAGCGGTATGACGGCCCGTTCACCTTTAAATATTATCCCATTCTGTATGACGAGTTCGTCGCGGACATGGAAATACGGCCTTACCTCTCGCGTAGTCATAGAGTATTTAACAGGCCATCCCTCAAGGATCACTTCCTGGAGCGCCTGTAGAGTGTCGTCCTTCGCGGTCTCGCGCTGTATGTCAAGAAATCGTGTATCTTCGATCGGAATGTCACGCGCCATATTGATTGTCTCCTGGTAAGTGAGCCCATCAGAGCCAAACGTTCCAGTAATGTCACCCTCAGTAAGATAAGTACGACTGAGAGTGTCGGCAAGATACATGAGTTTTCCGGCATGGTACGTGATCGAGAATGTGTAAGTCTGTAGACGAAGTAACATCCTCTGCAGCCTCCTAGGAGCAGAAAGTAGCGGTTTCCGAATGATCATTTCAAGCGGTTTGTGGTCAATTTGGACAGTGACGTGTCGACCATAGACATAATGGTGGAACTTTTCAAGTCCAAAAACCACGGCTAAGAATCCTTTTTCTATTTGTGCGTACCGAGTTTCGACGTAAGTTAAAGCGCGACTCGCGAACGCGACGGGTTGACCCTTTTGGAGCAGAGCAGCTCCAAGTCCTCTCTCAGACGCATCACACAGGAGGGTCACTTCCTCCTCTGGGTCAAAGTAACGCAGTACGGGTTGTGAAGTAACAAGTCTTTTGATTTCACTAACAGCATCGGAGTGGGTCTTGAGCCAACACCACTCCATATCCTTCTGAGTCAGTTTCCTGAGAGGCTCACAAACGTCGCTCAGGCCGGTCAGAAACTTACTCAGATATGTCACAAAACCGATGAAACGACGCACGCCAGCTACATCCGTCGGTTCCGGCATTTCCGCGACTGCTTTCACGCAGTGACAAGGTGCCCAACAAATCGGACCTCATTTTGCCTCAACCTGAGTGTTTTTTTGTTTAGCTTTAGTCCTTTCTCACGACATCTTTTTAGTAGATCTAGGAGTTTCCTATCATATTCCCTGACAGCCTCCTCATCAGTATCTCCTTCCCCATAGACCAGAATATCATCTACGACACTGTGAACACCGGGCAGTCATTCTACAGTTTGGTCCTGCCTCCTCTGGTATTCTTTGGGAGCGGAAGATATGCCAAATGGCATCCTCAGCCATCGGTACCTTCCAAATGGAGTATTGAAGGTCGTCAGTAGTGAGCTTTCGTAGTCCAGTTCGACGTGCCAGAAGCCATTCTTGGCATCGAGAACACTAAAGCATTTAGCTTTGCTGAGATTTGGGAGAATGTCCTCAATCGTTGGAAGCGGGTAGTGGCTCCTCTTGATTGCCCTGTTTAGATCTGAGGGGTCTAAACATATCCGGGGGTTTTCCGGTTTTACTACCATAACCATACTTGACACCCATGAAGTAGGTTCTGTAACGGGAGTGATGATATTTATATCATGAAGCTTGTCCAGTTCCGACTTCAGGCGATCCTTCAGAGCAATGGGGACCTTACGTGGTGGGTGTACAACAGGGATGACATCGGGATCCACTGTCAAGTGATACTTTCCTTCAAGTTTTCCAGTTCCCTCAAATACATCAGAATATTCAGTTACAATGTCGGACATTGTGAAAGGTTTTGTATCGGTTTTGACAGCGTGTTTCACACTCAGAATGTTCTGATGTTGGATCGTCACTAGGTTCATGTCCTGCATCAAAGTATTACCGATCAGCGGTACACAGGTCTGATTTAACACTATAAAGTTTGCCGAGTATGTAGTATCAGTCTTAGGGTTCTGTTCTTCTAACTGGCACTTTCCCATAGGAGTGAGTGTTGTTTTGTTGAACATCTTGAGTATGCTCTTTGTGGGTTTCACATTCACGTGTGGCGGAACTAGTTCTTTCGAGATAATGTTACATGTCGCGCCACTATCCACCTGGAAGTTAACACGTTTCCCACCAATGTCCAGAGCTGCGAAGATCTCACCTGATGTTTTAACAGAGTTACAGGTTTCTTCATTAACAACATTGAGCAGTTCATAGTAATAGTCTCCTTCTTCGCACTCATCCTCGACTAAGTGGACACGTTTTTGTAAGCGGTGATCAGCCCGACCCCGATGCGGTGTATGCTGTGGTGTAGGTTTAGACACTTTCTTAAGGTTGTCACACTTAAAATGGAAATGATTGTGACCCTTACACTTTTAACATGTTTGTCCATAAGCTGGACACCGTTCTTTCCTCATTTCGTGTGTTTGTCCACAGTAGTAACACTCCTTTGGCGGAAACTCAAACGCATAGTTTTTTTCTTTTCACCTAGATACAGGTACCTGGGGCCTTTTCTTATGAGTTTTATGAGCCTTGTGGACGGTGTGATCCACTCCTCCTGTCTTGTCGAGTGTACTTACACTTAGTTTTGTCACTTCGACAGCTCTCGCGATTTCAAATGTTTTGTCAAGAGACAAGTCAGTAGTTCTCAACAGTCTTTCACGTAAATGACTGTCTTAGTTTTGGTATAGTTTTGTAAATCACCGAAGTTGCACGTGAGAACAAGTGTTTTGACATCAGTGATAAACTTTTCCAGAGTTTCATCTCCCTGGACCCTTATGTTAAACTTGAATCGTTCGACAGTTTCATTCTTTTTAGGTTGGCAGTATTTATCAAATGCCTAAACAACCATTTTTAGAGTTCTGTCCTTCTCTTCTTTATCGAAGTTGAAAGTTTTGTAGACCCCGCGGCCCTCTGATCCTATCAGATACTTGAACATTTTGAGTTGTTCGAGCGGTTGCTGATCTTTAAGTGCAGGATCTGCAAACAATTGGAATTCTTCTTTCCACTTTTTCCAGTCATCGGCTAAGTTAGTGCTGTTTTTCGAGTCGAAATTAAATTTCCCTAGCGGGGGAAGCCTTTCAAGAGCGACCATTTTCAGAAAAACGTACCAAACAGATATTGAGATAACTGATCGAGCAGCGATCAGACTCAAATAGAGTTATGTTGTGGCAGTTTTGAGAGCATACCACGTCACTTACAGTTCTGACACCATGTTAGATGCGCTTTAGAGTAGCATCGATGAGCTGTAGAGTAGCTTCAAGGAATCAAACAAAACACCAGACGTCAACTCAACATCGTGTATTCAGCTAGGCGGAAACAGACGACAGTCTGCGCGCAGACGCAGTTTACAGATATACAGAGTTGTTACATATTGCAGATTGAGTATCAGAACTAGGTAAACAGATAATAGCGGAACGCAATAATAACTACATATTGTTACAACAGGTAAAGTTGTTTTCAGAGACAGAAAAATATCTAGCAAACGTGTTCATGTTGAACGAATCATCGGCCTTGCAAAGACTTATAAAATACTAGCATTGCCAATATATATTACACAGACAAAGCTTTCAAGTGAAATCACTTTTGTTTGTTTTATGCTCTGTAACTTAAGAAAATGTATTGTTCCAAGACATGCATGAATACAGATTTGGTTATGTACATTATATTACTGTATTTATCCGTCAATGAATCCATACCTGGTAATAAGCTCATCCTTATCTATTGCAGTTTAGTATAAATTGCAACAGGTGTTATTTCATTGTTTTCTAATAAGCCAACCCCCTACTTTGAGTCAAAGGATATGTGTTGCCCCCCTGGGCTTATTGAAGGATAAATACAATAATGCCTGAGCAGATTTTATGAAACTTCACTGGCAAATCCCTTTCTTAACAGATTTTATCAAACTTCACTGGCAAATCCCTTTCTTAACAGATTTTTTATCAAACTTCACTGGCAAATCCCTTTCTGAACAGATTTTTATCAAACTTCACTGGCAAATCCCTTTCTGAACAGATTTTTATCAAACTTCACTATCAAATCCCTTTCTTAACAGATTTTTACCAAACTTCACTTACAAAAGATCACTTTTAAACCTGAAAGTAATGTTGTTATGGTCCTATACCACCCATTGCTAGCCTATTGCTGACACTTAGGTCATGATATTGGGCCAGTAGCATGCTTGGATGAAGGGATACCAAGTTTGTTCAAATGAATGGCCTTGACCTACTTTCAAGGTCACAGAGGTCAAATGTGTTAAAATTCTAAATTTAAAAACATCAGCTATCACTATGTATTTAAGAACTCGGGTGGCCATAGTGATAGTTGATGTTTTTAAACTAAGAAAATGGAGGAGTACGTTAGGAGAATATATACATACATCGATCCATACATGTAAAACCTGTTTAAAACACTGATGATTTTTTTCTATGTTATTTGTTACATAGTTACAACTCTCACATAATAGCAGCTACAGCTACCATACTATTTCTTTATTCATCTTATTACACTCTTTATATATTTTTAGAAGTAGTTTAAGTATCAGATATTGATACTGGGGTTACGCGGTGACGCTTTACCTTATGCGTTCATAACTTGAGTGCATCCTAGGTGTAGTGTATGAGATCCGTAACACTAGGCGATATATGAAACACAATATGGCAGGCTGTGATAGTGGACGTACAATGTCTATCAAAGTAGCTACATGTGTTATGGCAGTCTTGTTTATTGCCCAAATAACATTTTTCTTTTCATTTAATACTAAGAGTAAAATAAAAGTCAATCAGAAATACAAAATAGTAAGTGGAATAAAGGAAGCATTGGAGCTAAATACATCTAGAACTTGTACGGCCATTAAGATTTGGAAAACAAAGGATAAAAGTATGACAACAAAGCCCAAGATGTTGCCAATATGCCCATCGACCCCGCCAAATCAAGGTAAGGATTCTGTTTTTTACTTTTCTCCAAACTAATATGTTTTAAATTGTTCAGAATATGCTCAAATGGTGAGTACAAGGTAAGTACTAGTATTGATAAGAAACCTTGATGATTTCATGTAATGTTTCCCTTTTTCATTCAATCAAAAAGGAAATAAACCAAGAATTTGGGATGACTATTTTTGTACTAAAGTTACATTACATGTGCATAATATCAAAAGTAAAATAATGCCGGGCCACCTTGCTCTTATTCTCTTTGTACGTTTCCAATGTACTTTTATTCTCTGTTTGCTTGTTTGTTTGTTTTTTGTTTATGTTTGTTATTGTTCATAAAGTTTTAACCAGTTTTGTAAATTGTTCTTTACACTCACATGAGACATGTTGCTATCATCATCATCAGCGTCATCATCATTACTATTATCTGACATCATCATCATAATTATCATCAGCATCGTCATCTGACATCATCATCTGACATCACTTGTTATCATCATCATCATCATCATTGTTTTACATCAATCATCCTCATCATCATCTGACATCCTCATCATATCATCTTCTGACATCATCATCATATCATCTTCTGACATCCTCATCATCATCTTCTGACATCCTCATCATCATCTTCTGACATCATCATCATCGTTATCATCATCATATCATCATCACTTAATACTCACATATTTTCTCTTAAAAACATGTAGTCATAATCATCAGTATTTGTCCTCTTTACCTGTTGCAATACATTTTTGTGTAGCATAGTTGTCATTGTTTGCTTTTTAAAGACAAATTATATAGGGCGCTATATAAATGTTGTATATTGTTATTATTATTACGCGTAGGTTTAAATGTGTACTGCATAGTGTGGCTATATCTTAGCATCGTCCCATTAGGGATATTGGCAAAACCAACAAAATACCTCTTTCTTGGTCTTTCGGAACTCCTCGGATTTCTTTCATACCATGTGATCATCGTTTAAAGGGAAAGAACTCCTTCGTTCTTGCAGCATTGTACAGTCGAGGGGAATAAACCAAAGAACGCCAAATATGAAGCGATGATTTTGTTTCAGATTTAATACAATATTCTCATTAACAGGGCGCTAGAAACTAATCTGAAAAAGGGGCTAGGAATATCTTTTTGTGACGTCCGTGGGGAGAGCCTGTCCAATGTCGGTAGATGAAAGTGATCGTATAGTAATTTAGGTTTTCCCCAAAACTACCGACAAACTGACCGGTGGCAATCCCCAAGAATGTCCCACTGCGTCCGTTTGTACAGTCAGACACAGGTCCGTCAGATGTGGAGGAGTATCCGAGTTATAAACCAATCAACACCTTGTTTCAAAGTTAACTACCGTTTATTACATATCACACGACTAAGGTAGCCGTTAAAACATGGCAAACAATACGTACATCAATAACAGTATAGTATATGATACAAGACAGAACAAAACCTACAGCGTAGAGGAAAGAATGAAGTGGAGTGAACCTATATATATTAGCCCCCACGTGGTAAACTAAGGCCTATAGGTAAATGTAATTATTCTATAACGGTGAAAACCACCCCTCCCGGAACACTGAAATACGTCAAGCTAACCAGCATTAACTTTACCCTAACGTTCCCTACCGTGGGTGTACTGCTCAGCGCCTCGGTGGAGGGGTTTTCCCCTCCTGGTATAGCCGGCTTTCCGGCCACGCAAGTGACCATCAACAAACGGGTTATGAATATTTATGGCAGAAATTATTTAGAAATGGACCTTTTTTAGTGGGACAGTCGTCGGAGTATTATATAGAACGAGACCATTCATTCCGTATTGTGGTATGACTATATCTTTCTTTACTTTCTTATTCCTCTATTATGACATTTTGAAAGGGGTTTTTTGGGGGACAGAGACCAGCAAAAAAGGGGCTAGGAATATTACTGGGGTAGCAGTGTACAGTAAAAATGGCCCGACTCTGATAAACAAGGCACATGTCGAGGAAATGTAAACACAGCGGATTTACCCTACATAACACATGTATACATGTATATATATTTGTAAACTGCATTACATTTACAATACATATAAAGTACTGAGAAGTGTATACAAATCTTTTTTCTGTGTATGTCACTTGTGTGAAAACCATGGTTACCATATCAAAGATTACCAAAAAATGCCAAAAATTGCTATTTTTGACCCAAAATTTGACCCCCGCAGCTAGTAATTTTTTCCTAAGTTCTGTCTGAAATTAAAGATTACTTACCTGGTTGCAGAATTATCTGGGTCCCTGTAAAGTTGTAAAACTTGATTTTTTGCAATTTTGCGTTGTGTGATGTAAAGCTAGCTTTTCATGTGCAGCCACCCTCTCGGATTATGGCCAAAATTTTATTCTCGTACCCAAAAAATCTTCTTTTTTTTTTTTTACAAAGGGGAAGCTCACATAGCCCACTTCATCATGCTTTTACCAATTTTAGTACAGTTTTTTTTATATTTTTTTACATATCATTATACAAGGGTTAGCCATTTAACAAAAATATCACGCATGGCCACAACCCTCTACTGTATACTGCTACCTGGGACAGTCGTCGGAGTAGTATATAGAGCGAGACAGTTCATTCCGTATTGTAGTACGAGTACATGTATATCATTTTTTACTTCCATATATATTACTCTATCATAACATTTTGAAAGGGTTTTCTTTGGGGACAGAGACCAGCAAAAGAGGGGCTAGCAATATTTTTTGGGGGGAAATATAAGAAAAAGTATCTCTGGGCGAGTAATGGTATGTCCCAGCACTGAGCATGTATTTTCTATTTCAAAATACGTTACCCCAGTCATTATAATGCCTATTCCAACCTTACTTGGCTCTTTACATACGTAAATTAAGAATTTTTCCCCCATGGGGAACCCCTGGAAAACCCACCAATCAGACGGCAGTATTCACGCACGTGATCAGACACGAAGCCATGCTTCCTACTTCATAATTCCTTTAGCCTTCCGTGTTTACTACTGGTTTCTTACTACGGGGTTCCAACTGCTACTGGCGTTGTTTGTACCGATATATTGTATCCTTTATACTATATTACTTTATTTGTTTTAATTTTAGCGTTTTGCTTTATTTTGCGACCAGGCTCCGGCCACGTGTTCGCGTTTGACGGTTTGTTTATTTGAGATGGAGACTCCTCCTTCTCAAAGGCGCTGTCCTGGGGGTCATTTTTGAGGCTTCCGACCGTGGTGATAGCGTCTAGCACGCCGTCCACCACTGTGCAGCATTTGCTGTCCGGTCCGGTGGTAAGTGATGTCTCGGCCTCGCTAGCCTTGGCTGGATTTTACGGTGGTGTGAGCACTAGTGTAAACACCTATGCTCCCAGCTCTATCCCTTGTGCCTCCTCCCCGGGTTTTCCTATGGTAGGTGCCAGCGCGGCTGCGTTTGGTTTTGCCGGTGCATGCTGCTCCCCTGGTGGGGCTTGTTTTACTGGCCCTACAGGTTTTGGCCCTTCTGTAGGTCAGTCTGGGTGGAGTTGGTCAGGTCAGCCAGGTGTGGCTTATGGCGGCGGGTGTGTAGGTGGCCCTAGGTTCCCTACCCC